AATTTGGGGGGTGATAGTGATGTCTAACACTCAATCTTAGGTATAACTTACACTGTGTGTGTAGTGTAATCTCTATCCATTACCCCCAAACCATCAATAAAATTTGTCTACGCCCAGCAAGTTGTGGTAGTAGTGCCTTGAGGGAAATACAGGTATTCCACAATGGGAGTACCTTAGAGAACATCCACTGCCAGAAACCAGGTGAGAGCCAGGAAACCCATTATCATGTGGACTGCCCAAAGAATGGAGGTATTTCCTGAAAATTTCAGAAAACTTAGAGAGAAGACAACTTTCAACAGAATGTGATTGAGGTTCATGTCGTTTTGCTGAGAAGGAGAAAAAAGGGTGGCTCCGTAGAGCTGAGGGAGCCTCCAAATGAGAGAGGAGAGACATGTGCATTGCACTTTTCTCTAAGGATGTATCAGTCAGAATGGTGAATAAATGTCTCCCAGCAAAGGGAAAGCTTTAGCAAAAGGAAGAAAATCATCACTGAGGTGATGCTTTTCTACCCTCTGGGTGAATTGTAAGGAGCAAAAGATACCCTCTTAGCTGTCTATATTTCCAAGGCTGGTTGGCTTCTAGATGAATCCCAAAGATTCCTGGCTACTCTCAATAGTTATATTATTTCTGAATAAGGTCCATTTTTGAGTCTGAAAACCCTAAGGAATTGGCTTTAATTTGGCTCTCCTAGGATCACCTCATTCTGCCTCTGGATGATCCAAAACCCGGGGAAAGAAACACACACACACACACACACACACACACACACAAACACACACACAAAGAAAAAATTTATCTCTACTGACATCACAACTTAACCAAACTCCTATGAAAAAATGTTATTTAACATGTGTAATTTAACATGTAATTTAACAGCACACTTTCTTAGATAAGGACCAGGGAATGTCTATGGCTTAACCTCCTTAAGGAAATCTTATAGTCTGGCTTTGAGGAACCAGACTTCTGCCCACAGTTCAACCTCTTCCAATGATCTGTTGTTTCAAATTAGTCACTCTCACAGTGATGATTCCAGTAAAGCTTTTTTTCTGTTAAGCTGTGGTAAGTCAAAACCTACTTCAGAGAATACAAAGTCACCACTCTGGGGGGTGGTGGGGGCTAAGAAAAAAACATGGTTTTCTGTGTTTTCAGTTGTTTAAAAAGAAAGAAAACTTCAAACTACTAAACCAGAAGTGACCTTTTTTTTTTAAGTGGTCTACTTTGGGTTTAGCATTTCATAAAGGAACAATGATTGACTCTACTTTTGATGAGCACATTCAAAAGGTTTTGGGGTTTTGACATTCCTTGTGTTCCTTCTTAAAGAAAAATAACTAAAGGAACTGTTAATGTCTCTTCCCTGAAACCAGTACTTAAAGCATAGTAAGCTACAACCCTGTCTTTAGAAAATCCTGAAGGCATCCTAGCAGAGCTCAGAGTTGATAGAGAAAAGTACCAGTAGTACCACAACTAGCTAATGGCATCGGTCATCACAGGATGCCCAGCACCATTCCTACTCCTCTTTGCTCTAATACCATTATCTAGGAGGGCCCACTGACCCAAAAAAATGGTCCCACAAACTTCCTGTGACCATTAGAACTGGTGTACTTGGATGAATGGAGTCATATGAAGAAGAAATGGATGAGGAGAATTTCATTGTGAGGGTTGGGAATACAGACCATCAGCCAAAAGAAGGGTGACTACCTCTCTGACTTTCTCCATGAAGTGCCTGGTCAGAAACCTGACCACATAGAGCAGATTAATCAACAGAAGAGTTTCAAGGAGAGCAGGTGACACATTCCAACCTGGACTTTTAGTTTTGTTCATTAATTTATTCAACAAACATGTATTGTGTATCTTCTAAACGACAGTTTCAGCTTTAATTATCTAGAATTTTTCCTCAACAGTCTCCCAAAAGCTCCTGGTAATGCTAACGACCAAATAGCTCTTTCTTTTTTTCTAATTCTATGAGTTAGGGCGCACTATGTTTTTTCATCTGTAGCCTCAAACCCCCATTGAATAATCTAGTCAAAGCTGGATAAACAAGCACACACGTCCTTGAGGCAACACAATTATAGATTCACTACTCTGAAAAACATACCCATTGAAAGACTTTTGCCTTATAATGAAAGTTATTTAGTCAACAAATATTTATTGAGCACCTAATATGTGCCAGGCACTAGGTTAGGTAACGTGAATACAGTGGTAAACAAGGCAGAAAAGGTCTTGCTTTTGGAGTTTTTTTTCTAGCAGAAAAAAAAAACCCAGGTATTTTTAAGTGGTTAAATAAATAACAGGCAGATTCCTGGCTTTAAAAATGGAGCCCATGTGTGTGGAGAAAACCTTCTCAGATGTTTGTCTCTATGGGGAAAATGAGAAATGCAGCCATTTCTGGAGGAAGAAGAAGGCTAAAGAAAGGTTTGGGTTTTTTTTTTGGTTTAGTTTGGTTTGGTTTATCTTTCAGTGACAGGGGATACTTGAATATATGTACATGCCGGTGGAAGTTATTTCATAGAGCTAGTTTGAAGATTTAGAAGAAAGAAGAAAATTTTTAAACAGGTAAAATAAGGAAGAGGAAATTAGTGCACACAGAAGGTCCTCTTCCTCCACCGTATCAGATGGAAGAAAGAGATCATTCAGATACAAGTGGGTTTGTGTTTTGGTGGTAAAAGTGAGGTTCCATGGTGGGAGGAGGGGAGGAGGTTGGTTTATAAAAGGAAAAGACATGATGTAGTTGTCTCAAACAGTGAAAAAAACATGCTTACCAGGGAACTGGAGGAAAAGTGCTGGGCTGTGTTGAATGCCTATTTGAAATCTGTGATCACTAATGTAAAGCACTGGTTCTCAGTCAGGAGTGATTTTGTCTCCCCACCTTCAGCCCGGGGACATTTGGCAATATTTGGTGACATTTTTGGTTATCACACATGGGGGCAAGGGCATGCTACTGGCATCTAGTCGGTAGAGGGCAGGGTTACTGCTAAACATACGACAATGCACGGGCAGGACAGCCCTCACAACAAAGATTTGTCCAGCTCATAACGTCAATAGAAACGAGGCTAGAAAACCCTGATGTAAAGTGATGTCATATTTATGTATAGATCATCTCGGAAAGGCTACAGAAGGAGACAGTGATCCTCCTTGTGGGCAGAGATGGAGCCACAGGACAGGATGAGAAAAGGACTTATTTTCATCCTATATCTTTGTGTATCTTTTAAAATTTGTGCTATGTGCATGTGTTACCTATTCAAATCTATCAAAAGACAGAAATAATTCACTGATAAATAATTGATTTGGCCTTCCTTGGTGGTGCAGTGGTTGAGAGTCCGCCTGGCAATGCAGGGGACACGGGTTCGAGCCCTGGTCCGGGAAGATCCCACATGCCATGGAGCAACTAAGCCCGTGCGCCACAACTACTGAGCCTGCGCTCTAGAGCCCACGAGCCACAACTACTGAGCCCGTGTGCCGCAACTACTGAAGGCCACGCGCCTAGAGTTCGTGCTCCGCAACAAGAGAAGCCACCACAGTGAGAAGCCCGCACACCGCAACGAAGAGTAGCCCCTGCTCACCGCAACTAGAGAAAGCCCGCGCGCAGCAACGAAGACCCAACGCAGCCAAAAATAAATAAATTTATTTATTTTAAAAAATTGATCGGATGACTTAAGTAGATGATAGATAAAAATAAAAATAGTCAATCAGTTTGTGTCATTTTTCTGCAGCAACGTCCGGCTGCTAGGATGCCAGCATAAAGAGAATGGGATTTTTACAAGAGGAAAACAGGGGCGGTAACAGAGTATTTTGGAATTCAGGGTCTTTCCAAGGTACTGATTGTAACGACAGATTGTGGAACCTAAGCTGGATAGAGAAAAGAGTGAAGATAGAGAAGGAGCTGATGGATATATAAGAAAATGATAGCATTTATTAAGTAGATGTCACAACACAGTAAAATATATATATATATTTTTAGGAGAGAAAATGTTGGACCAACTGAGTTGGAAAAAGGACATGATGTTGTGAAAATAAGGTGTCTGAAATCAAATTCCAGAGGAGATGTTGTTATTTTTAATGATGAAAAAGTCTAGGGAGAAGTCATGGTAATGAGCATTTGGAGAAAATAGGAAAAGGTTATTGTGAGACCAAGGTGAGAAGGCAAGAAACCAGGTGTTTGAATGGATCCCTCAGAGCAGTGGCTTCTTCTGGAGAATGAAATGCCTCCTATGGAGTGGCTTATTAATAATGGCAGACACTATTGTTTGACATTCTACGATGTGTTAGATACCATAAGTACATATCAGCCCCTTTTTGTCCAAAAAAGTCAAGTGATCTGCCCAGTGACTGCATAGTTAATAAGTAGAGGAACAAAGATTCAAATTCAGGTTTTTTAGTCCGAAGTCTGTGCCCTTTCCACTATGCCACATCTCTGCCCCCAGGAAAAGACAAATTGTCATCAGATCTATGGGAAGTTGGGTGAGCTTAACACTGGCAATAATATTGGTAATGGAAACTCTGGATAGTGGGAGATGGAAGGGAAAGAGAATATAGTGAGGAGAGGAGAGCCTGGCGAAGATGCAAAGATTTGCCTCACAGCTCTTCTCACCCTAGCAAATTCTTCTTAAAGTGGGCTTAAGTCATAATGAATGAGGAGGCCATGGAAGAAAGAAATAATAAGGAAAAACTCCAGATCTTAGTGATTTTCAAAAAGGACACTCATAATGTTTACCTGTATTTTAACATAGTTTTTGTTACATGTATTCTGTTCATTAAAAATGCACAAAATAGGGCTTCCCTGGTGGCACAGTGGTTGAGAGTCCGCCTACCGATGCAGGGGACACGGGTTCGTGCCCCGGTCCAGGAAGATCCCACATGCCACGCAGCGGCTGGGCCCGTGAGCCATGGCCGCTGAGCCTGCGCGTCCGGAGCCTGTGCTCAGAAACGGGAGAGGCCACAACAGTGAGAGGCCTGCGTACCGCAAAAAAGAAAAAAAAAAACCCACAAAATATATATAAATATTAGTTATATTATGGGGAAACAGCTTTAATAACTGACAATCAAAGAGTTTTGAGGACTATTAGAGTTGGTTGCCCAAAAAGCATTCAAAATCTACCACCAAATGCAACCCATATTTTCCTAACATGTCCTTCCCAATCTCCACGTTCTCTCTACTTACGTAACTCTTCTAGTCACACGCGCACGCACACACACACACACACACCCACAATTGCACTGGAAATATACATGCTGTATAGGGAATGGACTGAGTCCTCAAAAGATCTCTCTTGCTTCTCTGTTAGCATCACCTGATGGCTCAGGCTATGCATTTAGAAGTAAAGATGCTGCCAGTGGGACACTGGCCTTTTAGTCTCTTTAGCTTATCATGTAAGCCTAGTCCTCTTTTCCCACCCCTTATACATTCATGTTGCATCCATATACGTGAAAGACAGCCTCCCCTGAGGTAGACAGTAGACCCACCCCAAGAGGTGAGTTAAAAGGTGCCATTTTCAGTGTACCAAAGTGTGCTAGGCCACTTAAGATGAGTGTAGAACACCCTGGCAGCTGCTTTTCCCTGTCTCTGCAGCTTCACATGGCAGCCCAGAGTTTCATGTTCATGTCTTCCTCCTGTCTGGCTCGTGGGCCTTAGGTGAGATGAGGAACTGTAGAAATGCTGGACCCTGTGGTCTCAAGATCCTCTTGGTTCATGTCTTCTCTCTTGACCTCAAGTGGACTTAAGAAGACCCTCATTCAAGACAACATTCTCAGTGCCTATAACAAGAAACCATAATGGAAAGAATCCCAAAGTGCTTTTCTTAGAGCTTATATAAGCCAAAAAATGTCTTAGATTCCTCAAAATTGACCAGAGAGGGCTCAGATACATTGACATATAAATGGTCAGCATTGGTGAGATTGAACACAGCCCCCAGGTAGCTGCTGCGGGCCCACATCTGGCCAGTAGTGCAGTAGTCCATCATCTTCCCCTCCATGAGCACCAGGTCCTGGGGGTACCTAAAATTCCTCGTGTAAACCTTGTGGTTCAGGGGCTGGTTGTTGCAGGACTGACCCCGGAAGTACACTTTGGAATACACAAAATACAGCCCAGTTTCATTGATCACAAGGCTGCCCTTCTTATACTTCACCCCAGAGACCAGGGCAATTCCATAAGTGTCTTCCCATTCCAGAGGGATGGATCTTGAGTTGGGCTTGCCTGAAACCAAACCAGAGAGGAGCTTTCAGCCAGGAATGCTCATGTATCAACAAACCAAGCTTCCAAGGCAAAATTGTGGACCATGCCTTGAGCAAATGCTTTTCACCCCAAATGACATAGCCCATATTGAGCCAGGTGACGGATCAGGCCTGACCTGCTACTGAATTTCTTCACACCTTTATCAAATTGACGTCTTCAATTTTATCATCCACACAACTGGGACAATAGCATATACCCCTAATCAACTGCAGTGAGAAATGATTGGGATGATTTTAGCTCTCTGGAACAAAGGTTCAGAACTAGTACCAAAACTACTAGGGTTTGAGGTCCCTTCATGAGGAGAAAAATCAAATCCAAGGAACTTTGAAGTTCTAAAGTTGGGAAGGACCTTAGGGATCATCTAGTCCAATCTTTACCTGCACTAAGGATTCTTCAGTGTGGGCGAAAATCCCCTTTCATTTGTATCCCCACAGCATTATGTACATTCTTAAGCAGAGAATGCTGGAATTATTGCTTATGCACCTGTCTTTCCCTGTTAGATTGTAAGCTCCTTGAAGGCAGGAGCCGTGTGTGGTTCATCTCCATGTCCCCCAGGCTTGGCACACAGCATGTGCTCAAGAAATGTCTGTTTATCTAAATTGGATCATTTTACAGCCTCTGCTGAAATAATTTCAGGGACAGCAGCATACCGCTTTCCATGATACTTATCCACTTTTCAGATATTTGTGGACTTTACACTGGGAATGCCCATACCACCTTGCTATCAAATCATTTCACTCCACTACACGACCACTAGTGCCAGGACTGGGCCTCCCCTCTCCTTTTTCTACTCATGGAGAAAGCAGAGTAAATCTCTTACAGAAAACCAAGGAAACACGTACTAAAATAATTCATCATTCCCCATCTCCCCAGCTCTCACCGCTTGGATCTGTGCCCCAAATTCCCTAAGGGTCATTGGAGTGAGTGAAAAGAGTGAGCTCCTTATGGGCAAGGATCACGTCATAAGCAGCTCCATTTCTCCAGTTTAGAACAGGGCCTGGCCCGAGTAGGGGCTCAATGTGTGTGTGAGGTTGACCTGACTAGAAAGATGTAACTACTCTTGGGTTTCAAATACTGTCACTGGAAAGTATCAACTACCGCAGAGCACAGTCATGGAGACCAACCAGCTCTTCTGCTTTCTGCCAAAGGCTTTCCCAAGCCCATCTTCCAGATACAGACCTGTTAAATGAGCTGCCTTTCTCAGCTCCGTTTTCTCAGAGGATGGATTGGGGTGACCTGTTTCATAGAGAGATGAAAGATATATGTAAAAAATGACATAACAACTATTCTTTTTGTGGGACTCTAAGCAGGGCATTTAAATAAAAGAAGTTTTATAAGCATAAATGGCAACAGTCTAACATAGCCAACTCATTCAAGTCCAAATTGTAGGAATTACAACAGCCTGTATTTCAGAAACAGAGAGGTAAAAAGGAACTAAATTAAAATAGACACATGCATAAATTATAATGCTACAATAAAATAATAGAAAGGTTAGTTTATAAAGATGTGCCATATAAGTTATTGCATTTATAACTGGCCACAACTCTTTGAGGTAGAGATTACTGTCCCATCTTATAGATGGCAAAATGAGCTTAAAAGTTGGGTGACTTGTATACCTATAACTGAATCACTTTGCTGTACACCTGAAACTAACACAACGCTGTTAATCAACTATACTCCAATATAAAATAAAAAGTTATTTCCTGATAAAAAAATAACAAGTTGGGTGACTTATCCAAGAAGACCTGTTTACTCAGTGTCAGAGTGGGACTGACACTCAGGTCTCCTGAGTCCAAATCCAAGGCTCTTTCCTCTCTGGCTCAGCTGCCCTTAGGACTCTGCAGGACAAAGCCTGAAGACTGCTAATCTCCAGGCCACTAGGTCTTCCCCAATGGCATTCTACAATCTGCCCCAAATAAATTATCCTAAGATCTCAAACACCTTGAATGCTCCTCATTGAACGTGTAATTATGTACAAGTGTCCCCAACCATGTGATCTCTGCCTATCTGTCCAGCCTTATCTTGCTTACTCACCCACACTAGACATAGCTGTACAACAGTTCTGAACACACCCAGCTTCCCTGCCTCTGTGCCTTTGCCCATGCTGTTCCTTCTGCCTGGGATGCCCTCCCAAACAGATCTCTGTGCTAAATTCCTATCAACCCTGCAAATACCATCTAAAATACCTCTTTTCTTGCAAAACATTCCCAAGCCTTTCTAATCAAATATGCTTGTTTCCGCCTTTGAAACCTAGAAGCACTCTGTCTTCACCTCTCTTGTCAGTTTTGACTCCTCTTTTTCTGTGGTAACTGTATAATTCATCTTACTCCCCAAATAAATGGCAAATTCCTTACTATATGTTTAATCCACCAGAGTAATTAGCTCGGTTTCTACCCCAAGGCACGTGATCAGTACATGTTTGCTAAATTAAATGGAAAGATTTAAAATAGACAACAGTTCTCAAAATAGGTACTATTTCTCTGACTTTAGATATTTCAGTGGAATAGCTCTACCACTTAACTAATGAATTTAGCTAAGATGTTCAAGAAAGTTTCATAGAAAGACACTCATCCACATCAGGCTCTTAATGATTAGCCTGTAAAACTCTATATGGCCTGAGAGTGCTCCAATCCGCTGAGAATATGATGTAAGCAGTTATTACCTCTGTAGCCACCCAAGACCACCCACCATGAACGAGGTGAGGTGTTAGCGAACAGGAAAGGCAAAACTGAGTCTCTTCTATATTCCTACACCACAAACCATCTGTGCAGCTGATCTGGCATTCAGCCATGAACTGACAGGAAATGGAACAGAGAATCACATGTTGTATATCCCTCGCAGTGTTATTCTCATAGAAGGTACTCAATAAAAATATCTGCTGGATAAATGATGGAATAAATAAAGTAGAAATATATCCTATATTTTGGTGATGACTGTATCCTGCTCCAGGGTCTCTGCACATGCCATTCTCAGTGCTGGAATGATGTTCCCAGCCTCCTACCCACCCATACACATACACACATCCACATTAACAACACCTCCTTAGAGGGGACTTTGCAGACCACTCAATCTTAGGTCACACTTAGTACAACTTAAAAGTTTGTTGTCTGTTTGCTTGCTTTTGTTTATCTTCTCTAGCATGCTAAGAGCTCCATGAGGGCAAGCCACTTGTCTCTCATTCTGTCATCACCCACTACCCAACACCCAGCCTAGCACACAGGAAATACTCCAAGAACATTTGTGAATGAATAAAAGATTTAATGAGTTAACTGTGGAAAAATGAAAGTGAACCAAATAAGAAAGTTTAAATAACCTACAATAGTACCTTCCAGAGAAAAATCACAGTTAAACTGTTGGAGTATAAATCCTTCTAGATGTTTACTAAGAATATAAAAATATGCATATGTCAATATTAAACTAAACACACTGCTTTACAACTTGTCTTTTATCCAACAATATAGAATGCACAATCTCTATGGCATTAAATGTCCTTCTAACATATAGCTTTTAGTTGCTGCGTACTATGCTCTCATCTGAATACACTGTAATGTATTTAACTAATTTCCTATTAAGAAGCATTTAACTTTCTTCTGACTGGTTTATTATAAGTAGCCTTATAAGGAAGTGATGAACACCCTTATTATAAATTTTCAGCCACATTTTGATTCTTTTCTTAAATACTAAAGCCTTAGTGATGAGATTACAAGGTAAATTAACAGTTTTAATCCTGTGATATTTTTTTCCCAACTGCTCTTTAGAAAGGTGTAGCAATTTACATGCCCACTGACTCTCAACTGTTGAAGCAGACCCTTTTCTCTCACATTTTTGCCAACCTGGGGTTTTGTGTTTTTTTTTAAACTTCACTAATTTGATGGATAAACCTGGGTATCCCCCTTTTTAAATTTGCATCTCTTAGCTCATTAGTAAAGTTGCTAATTTGATTTCTGTGTGATAATTCACCAATTTCTGGTCCATCTGGGTTGATCTAGGAAAGATAGTTGATACTTGTTTAGTGGGACATGTGGACCTGACTTATCTGTTCACTTGACTTTTAATTACTAAAATGACTCCAGAAAGTGGGTGAAAGATGAGTAATTAGGTACCCATTTTACCAGCCACGTTCCACTGATTTTCAAATCTATCTTATTTTAGAAATCCTCCAGAGGCTTTATTTTTCTAACAAATGTTTTTACTTTGCTTGGGTACATCTGGAATTTCTAACTCTTTAGGGACTCAGACCCAGAACTAGAAACCAGAGGATCCTATGGATGGCTCCTACAAGAGCCTACCTGCTAGGGCAATAGGGTGACTTGGGTTTCTCAGGCATATCCTAAGAAACTGGAACAGCCTCCCCTTACTGGGTAGCCAGTGCTGTCTTCTGTTTTCTTCCCAATTTCTAAGGATGAGATTTAACTATTGTCTTTGCAGAGGCATCTTGCTTGTCATCTTTATTCTCATTCCATGGCCATCAGAAAAAGACAGGAGTTTCCCTGTGTCATGAGGCACCAGAGCATGTGCTGGGAAGCACTATAAGTGACAAGGCATTAGGAGCCTATGTTCCTTCTCACCCCAGTTTCACACCAGTAGTGTTGGGCACATCACGTAATCTATCTGGTGTTTTGTTTCTCTTCTGAAAAATGAGATGACTGGACCAGATGTTCTCTAAGCTCCCTTCCAACTCTTACCAAATCTAAAGTTCAGTGAATCTTAGTTTAATGAGTTGCAGTATTATAAATCTATCTGTCCACAGTTTCCAAAACTATGTCCTGAAACTTTAGAAGGTCAATGTTCAACATTTTCATCTTCTTCCTGTCCTGGATCTCATACAAAGGTTTTTCCTTTATTATCAAAGGTAGCTCACGATTGCCTCTGTGAGTGAAGTGGGACTACCCTTTGAATAATGGCAAAAGTCTTCCTCCAAGCTTTCCAGTGGCTGCAAAAGAACCATCCTAATGGGGATGATTGGTTGCCCACTTTTTAAAAGCTTAAATATATCCTATGAAAAAATTTTAAATAAGGTCTGACTCTTAACTAATCTCTTATAGAGATTAAATAGGAGAGCACGGGTCTTTCCCAGCAGCAGCTTTCTCTGCCTTTACCTCCCCTTCTCTCCCGAGAAGTTATAGCCACAGCCCTGTGCATGGGAACCAGGAGGCCTGAGGAAGGGGACAGGCCTGGAGCCAACTGCTAAGGGGCAAAGGTCCAGGGTTGTATATGTGTGTTGCTCTTTCCAACTTCAAGCAGAAATTATTTTTACTTTTGTGTGATACTCAGCTACACTAATTTTGAACAATTAAATTCACTTCATATTTTAGGGCAGCTCAAAGAACCAAAATGACCAGAGATTCAGAATTGGTTAGGATTCCTCTTCCATAGTATACATATGCCCAGGAATGAGATGGAATTCAAGGCATTCCCCCAACATGGTTCAGCGCTAAGGACTATCTTTCTAACTCATGTACGCGCATGAAAGGACTCACCTATTTGCTTCTCCAAAGACGATTCTGTATGCCTTTGGCTGGTGGACTGGTGAAACAAAAAGAGAAAAGGTATATAATAAATATGAAGTTCTTTAAGCAAAAGAGGCAGAATTGTCAAATAAACTAAGCACTGGAAAGGGAATCTAAACACCTTAGAACCTCTGCTAACTCAGACTCCGGCCAAGTTGTGCCTCTCCATGCCTCAGTTTTGTGATTTGGAATAGTTCCGATATTTTTAAGTATTTTCAAGGAAATTTAGTTTGTCCATTTGAACAAATTCACTTGTAAGCAAGATTCCAAGTTCCTTTTCTTTCTTGAATCACTGAGTGTAAGGTAGGTAGCAGCCAACTGAGAAAAGAAGAACTCTAGTTACCAGTCCTAATCTGGCTCTGATCCTTCCCAACATAGATAATATTCCTTCCACTCATTTGAGCCCCCATTTCTCTGCATATAGAACAGGATGGCTAGAGCGATTCATTTCTAAGACAGGAAAAAAGGATTGTGAAGTACTTTGCAAGCAAGACTGTGGTCCGTATGGATCACTGTCACCTTCCTCCCTCCACTACAGCAGGGCTGTCTCACACCCATGCCTTCAGGGCACAGCAATCCACAGGGCAGCTTACCTCTCTGAGCTCGGCCAGTTCCTTCTGCAGGTGGAAGAGCTGAAATAGTCCCAGTCCCAATCCAACCAGGGCCACCAGAACCATGAAAAACATCACAAGGAGACACAGGCCTGTGTTGTGGCCCCTCCTCTTCTTCAGAGGTGGTGGTAGTGGCGGTGGCCTCCTTTGCCCGGGCCTTCCTGGCACAGAGGACGGACAGGGGAAGACTGACCCTGGAGAAGCCCAGGGAGAGCTGGCACTGCTGTCCACCCAGAAAATCTGGGGGTACGGGTAATTCAAGGGCTGCTGCATGGCAGCCAGTGCCTTGGGCCAGCCCCCAGCCAAGGGTTCTTCTCCTTCTCAATCCTGGGGAGTCCCGGGTGTCAAGGACGGGACTCCTGTTTCTGACTGCTCGAGAGAAAGGAGCCGGCTCTCTCTTTATAGAGTTCCCAGAACCCAGGGAAACACCTCTCTTTTGTTCTTTCTTTCCCCCTTTCTGCTTCTCAAAGAGACACCCACTCGCTTTGCATCTGAAGCTGAGAAGCCTCAAGAAGCTCAGAGCAAACCCGGGGCAGTTTCCGCCCACAATCTACTGATAAAAGCTTTCAAAACCCCAATTGCTGCTGCCTTGCTGCCTGAAAGGCTGGTAGGGCGGGCTCGTCTCCTCAGGCCCCGCGAGAGCAGGTAGCAGCAGCACAGCCCTGTCGACTTCGGCCATTGCCCGGCTATAGGGAGAGTGGCCAGTGGGGCTCACTCAGGCACTGAGGGGCGAGAGCACGGAGTTGTGGCCAGAGAAGCCGCTTCTATGTCTCACCTTTTGCAGGAGGGAATCGTCCCCCTGCTGCCAGCCCTTCCCCACACCCAAATACTATTCACCCCGACATAGCAGAGCAACATAATTTACAGGTTACAAACCTGCTCCACCCACTTTGTAGAGGTCAGATCAGGGGTTACAAACCCGTCACCCATATGCCTTACGGAGCCCACAGACCTGCTTTGCTTGTGCCTCACAAGTGTTCTTTCTACTGATTGTCCCCTTTAAAAATGTGGATATTCCATATATTTTTAAATTTATATTATCTTTATATTATGTTTTGAACCGCTAGACTATTGGACTGTCTGGAGACCCTCTCTGCACAACCAACCAGCTGGGCAGCAGCTGCTCTTGGGGATGGGACACAGACGTTCCAGGCTGCCCAGCCTGCACACCCTCCACTATATTTCTCACGCGCCTCGCTGTGTGAAACGGCTTTCCTGGTCCCTGTAGGCCTTTCTGTTTGCCATATCTGTTACGGTCGTCAGATGGCGCCCAGTTAAATTTGGATCTCAAATAAAAACTAGTTTTTAGGATAAGTACGTCTTAAACATTGCATGGAATATAGTAAAAATTACTCCTTTTTTATCTGAAGTTCAAATTTAACTGGTTATCCTAATTTTTTTTTTTAACTAAAGATGGGACTCTACCTAAACTTATTTCACATTTTCTCTGGCTTCAAATACCATTTACAGTAATTTCCAAGTACTCAGCTCCACATAAATCATATAAACCTCTCATAAATCCCTATTTTCCATTTTATTAAAGGGTTCTACCTTTGAAATTTCATCAGTTGTTATATCATGTTTTGGCACTTCTATGACTATCATTCTGGCTCTCCACCTGAACCAAGCCAACACCAAACTTATTTCCCTGTCCCATTCTGCCCACCCCCGTTCCCAATACAACCTGTTTCACCTGAGGTCACTCTTTATGGTGACAAATTCCACTCCACCTCTTCCCCTCCTCCAGCATTGCACTAGTCACGCAGGACGGTCGATTTTACCTGAGCCATGTTTGTCACATGAGCACACTCCCTCCCTACTGTCATTGCCTGAGGTCAGACTTTTATTATCTCACCTGAAATATTGCAGTGATACTCTAACTGGTTTCCAGGCCACCAGCCTTTCCCAAGCCCAAGTCACCCTGCATAATGCTGCAAGAATGATGTTTTTAAAAACACATTCAGTTATCTCACTTCCTTGCCTAAAACGTTCTGTCAGAAAGTTTGATTCTGGGAGTGGTCCAAATGCCTTAGTGTGACACACAAGGCAGTCTGTTGAAATCAGACTCCAACATCTGTCACTGCCCCCTCTCTAGGCACTTCTGCCCACATCCCAGTCTCCATGCATGAAACAGGGAGACAGATGAAATCAGAATGACTGCACAATGTTCTCACTCTCTTTTACAGATGGGCAGAGGTTACGTGTTTTAGAACTCACGTACGGCTTTCTTCATAGTCGTGAAAAATGATGTTTATAATTAATAATCAGAAAATATAATTTTAAGAATTCCACCATATGTACAACCAAAAGCACAACCCTTAAAGTATCCTGAAATAACTCTTAATAAAAATTGAATAGAATCATATTTTTTAAACTATAAAAATTTTCCTAAAAATGACAAATATTCAGATAAATGGAAAAAATACACCATATCCTGGATGAGGAGGATAGAAGGAAAGTGTCACATGATGGTTAGAGTGTGTGCTTCTGGAGTTAAACTGCCTGGGTTCAAATCCCAGTTCTTCCATTTATTAGCTGTGTGAACTGGACAGGTCACTTTCCCTCCTCTGTGCCACAGTTTTCTCATCTATAAAAATGGGCATGATCACAATAGTACCTATTTCATAGGGCATTATGAAAATTAAACGAGTCAAAACATTTGATACACTTAAAATAGTCCTCAACATCAAAGTAAGCACTCAAAAAATGTTGCTGTTCTTATTGTTGTAAATACAGTGTATCTTCCCACAAATGATTCATCTGTAGACTTCATGTAATTTACCTTCTTTCACTAAGGATAAAAGAAGGTAGAGGGGGTGGAGATGGGGGAGAGATGTTGCAGGGAAAAGTACAAGTCAATGTCTGACATCAGTATCTGAGTGGTTGAGTCCCTTGACACCATGATGATCTTACCCTATGTCCTCTTCTCTACTTGGTATTATCCACTTTTCTAATTTTTACCAAGTGCTAATATTTTTTCTGATTTCTTGTGAGGTTGAACATCTTGTCATATTTTTGTTATACAAATGTTTTCCCTTTTGTGTATATTTCCTGTTTTGTACACCATGCCCATTTTTCAGTTGGGTTTCTTATCTCTGTTTATTCACAGGATTTCCTTGTACTTCATATTCTAGATATTAATCTATTGTTACTTTTAGACATTGAAAATATGTCACACCATCGCAGATTTCATGTATAGGCTTTAACCTATCTGGAGTTCATCTTTGTTTGTGGTATAAAAGAGATCATCTTTGTTTTTCTCCATGTATGAACCAGTTTTCCCAACACAATCTATATTTTCCCCAACTGAATTACAGTGCTATATTTATCATATATGAAGTTTATACATGTAGTCGGGTCTTTTTCTGGGTTCTTATCTCTGTTTCATTGATTTATTTCTCTACTCCAGTACTAGGGTCACACAGTTTTCACAATTATGGCTTTCTAAAATGTCTTGAGAGCTAGAATGGTAAAATTTTCCCTCTTTGATCTTCTTTTTCAAAATTGACATAACTATTTGAGTATATTTAATCTCTCCTATATGTATTAGGAAAAGAAAAACTATCATGGTCTTAAAATGTTCTACTGGACTATTAACAGTAATTGCACTAATTTAGGGGAAGTGTTTTCTTTACAATGTTTTTGCCCTATCCACAGTTTTCCATGTGTTCTTTATGACTTTTAAAATTTTTCTTCAGGATGGTCTTATCCATTCTTTCTTAGATTAATTGCTTGATACTTTGTAATTTTGTTGTGATTATAAATGTTGTAATTTTCTGTGGCATTTTTAGATTCTGCGGTAAGCAACCTCTAAGATGACCCCAGTGACCCCACCACCACCTGGTATTCATGCCCTTTCATAATTCCCTCCTCTTGAGTGTGGGCTGGACCTACTGACTCACTTCTAACTAATAGAATACAGTAGAAGTGTTGGGATAGCACTTCCCAGATTAAGTTATAAAAAGACTGCAGCTTCTGCATTGCAGATGGCTGCCTTCTCATTGTATCCTCACATGGTGGAAAGAGAGAGGAAGCAAGCTCTCTCCTGGCTCTTATAAGGGTAATAATCCCATTCATGAGGGCCCCACCTTCATGACATCATCTAATCCTAGTTATTTTCAAAAAGCCCCACTTCCTAATACCATCACATTGGGACACAGAATTTTAAGTTATGAATTTGGGAGGGACACAAACATTCATTTCCATAACACCCACCTAAACCAACCTTGAATTCCTGACCACAGAAATGTTAAGATAAATATTTTTTATTTTAAGCCATTACGTTTTGGGGTCATTTGTTATGCAGCAATAGATAACTATTACAGATGACTATAACTGGTTTAAATAAATATTCTTCACTTTGTAACAAATAATCTTGAATCTTACAAACTTGTGGAACTCTCTTTTTATTTCTGATAGTGTGTCTATTGATTTCTGGGGTTTTTTCTATATAGATATACATTATCAGTGGACAAAATGAAAAGTTTTAATCTTCCCTTCCAATCCTTATGCCTCATTCTTTTACTTTTGTTTTTGTATTGTCTCAAACCTCAAGAAGAACTATATAAAACAGTAACTGTGATTGTGGGTATCTATGTCTTGTCCTTAATCACAGAGACTGCACCTAAAGTTTCTCACAGTAAGTATGATGTTTTCCTAAGGTTTTTGATTTTTATATATCACTTTTGTCAATAAAAGTTTCCTATTGTATCATCAGCATCTCGTCAGCACACAGATGAAACACAAATTAGGATAGCTTGAGAAGGACTTAATAAAAAGGACTGTTTACAAACATAGAGGTAAGGTGTAGGGAAATCAAAAAGGATAGTATAATATTCTAGCAATATTATAAGGAACAGGGACGTTATGACCACTAGTCAAGGGGAAAGGTAAGCTATTGGAACCTAAGAAGGAGAGAATTGTGTGGAGAAGACAGCCTAAACAGGAATTGTGACTTCCAGTCAAGAATTGCAGCCAGCCCTAGATGAGCCTGGAGAATAAATACCCTGTCCTACCACCTTCCCCCTTCCCTCCTGCTGGCGCTCCACACTAGGCAAATTCAACCCAAAACCAGAAGGTGAGGAAGTCCATTGATGTAGTCCATACAGGGTAAATTCACAGGAGAGAGAGCAAAATAGAGTCCCATTCCCCACCATCACCTTCATCATGTTCGTACTGCCTAAAATTTTAATTCTGGCTTGTGATAGAGTCTTATGGTCCCTTTTTACCAATATTTAAATGGTAATTTAATTGGATATATATTTCCAAATCTGATGTTCTTTATCTCTCTTTTTTTCAAAATTTTGCAAATATTACTCTTTGTCTTCTCACATCCAGATTAGTGAGAAGTCTGTGGTCAAACCAACTCCTATTCTTTTTAGGCATTTTTCTTTTTCCCCTCCAGAAAGTTTCAGAATATTCTCTTTGCATTATTAATTTCACTAAAATGAATATATATCACTTGGTTTTTCCAACATAGCCTATGTGGTACTTTACAAGCCTTTTCAGACTAAGGTCTTTTACCTTTCTTTAATTTGGAGAAATTGTTTAAATATTTCTTTCTCTACATTTATTTTGTTTTCTTCTGGAACTCCTATTACAAGGATGCTGACACTTCAATTTCTACTCTCCTCGCCTCTAAGCTTTTCTTTCAAAATACTTTTCTACTTTTTTGATGCTTTGCAGCGTTCAGGTATCTTCCAGCTCAGTAATACATTCTTCAGCTG